GTGTGGAAGGTTACAGTGTTCTGTGGCCATATAAATAAAGCGGGTGGAGCTTCTCTGTGTTTGTCTGACAGCAACGTGCGCTGAGGCACCTCGAGAGTTCAGCGGTGCAGTGGTAGCGACCTAGCGAACACACTGAAAATAAAACGTCTCCAGTGTTGTCATCTAACCAAGTGTAGTCATCCGAAATGATGTCTACACAAAACCGTAGAGAGACTTCCGAGCAAGAAGGACCAACAGAATCAACATGGCCTGACTGCTGTGTTCAAAGCAAACTTGAGAAAAACGAAGTATGGAACCATGGCTTAAATCCACTCTAGGCTGAGTACTAGTTTAGCTTAGATGTGCACTTTATAATGTTATATTGCTCTGTTTTGATTCCATAAAAAGAGCTGTTAAAGCAGCTGTTGTGTGACAAAATATTTTTTTCACTGTTGTTGATGGACAGTAACATTGTGTGAGAGATTATGTGTGAATAACTGCTCCAAGTGAAAAATGTTCATGTAAAATTGAAAATCGAAATTGTTATTTCAATAAATATTTGCATTTTGCACATAGAAAACTGATTCATGATTCCATGTTGATGAGAGCATTAAAATGGGGAAAAATTTGACAAAAAATATCAAAGGAAAGTCAGAAATTATAAAAAATGCGTGAGTAATCATGATTAATTTTTAGTTAATTTGTGTTAATTATGACAGTTGCATTTTTAATTAGGTTAAATACTTTAATCTTTTGACAGCTCTAGTTTTAATTACACATTCCGAGTGTTTCCGAACTTACTCTAGTCACCGCTAGGGTTACCGGAAGTGACATTTTAGTCGCCGACCGGCACGCTACACCATGGAGATACAGTACTGCAATAAAGTAAGGGAAATCTATTTTAAAATGATACACAAGTACTATCCCTCCAAGCATTATCTTCTCAAGTTCAAGAAAGACATCTCTGATGATTGTTCGTTTTGTGGAATGTCCCATGAAATGATGATTCACTTGTTCTGGCAATGCCAGTATAGCAAGAAATTTTGGAAAGCTGTATCCCGATTTATTATTGATCGTATTGGCTCTGACTTTATGCTATCCTGGAAAAATATACTGTTTGGCTACTTCAAAAAAGGGGAAAAAAAAGACTGAACAAATCTTTATTATACATTTAATAATCATTCTCGCTAAGTTCCATATCCAAAACCTCTTTCCTTAATTTTTGAAGCAGAATCTAAGCAATATTTGAATTCTATTATGGTTTCCAAAAACGAGAAAGCAGTTAAAACTCTGACTTTATGCTCTTTATTTAGAATTTTTGTTTGAAATGGTCGGTCTCTTTTTTTTTTTTTATCTGTCTTTATACTGTGTATGTATTAATAACTTGTTCGCTTAATTTTCTGTGATTTGTAATTCGACTTGTCCAATAAAGATTGTTGAAAAAAAAACAGACACTGTACAATTCCATGCACTACTCAACACAGTACAGTCAGTGGTACCTCTACTTACAAACGTCTCTTCATGCAAAATTTTCAACTTCCGAAAAGGCTCAACAGGAAAATATTGCCTCTTGTTACGAAAGAAATTTCAAGATAGGAAAGGTAAAAATACAGCCTGGGCCGATAATCGCAGGTCCAAGTTTCCTGAACGCAACATATTTATAGATGGTCTGCCATTGGCTATTACCGAACATCTTCCTGGCATGCCATTGGCTAAGAGGGACCTCTAACCGCATGTGTCAACGTGTGTCAACAGATAGATCTGTGTTTATGCAGCGTCCTCGTCTTTCGCCCCTCGGGCCATGAGGTGTTCCGGTAGTTTTACATAAATGTAAATCACCCAGAAAAAGTGTTCACCAATCGGTCGATCGCACACGATGCTGACATTTGCCTTGGACATTTTCGAAGGATTGTTAAAAGCCGACAAAAGCAAACGTCCTTGGATCAGTTCTTTACAAAATGCCAGGCAAAAACCACTTCTGAGAGAGGACATGAACTAAAGAATGCAAAAAAAACGATGAAGACGCAGTTAAAAGTTAAATGACAATCCTTTTTATTCTTAACTCTATTCTTTGTTTTTTTACATTATGCAAAACTCTCATTTATTGTGCAATAATCTAATTGTAACATGGATTTGTTACATATTTCGATGCATTTTTATGCTTTAGTAAACATTTATGTCTGAATTTTGGGGGTGGGGGGGCTTGGAGCGAATATAGGACATACATGGAAAACGCGTCTCTACTTACAAAATGTTCTAGTTCAGAAATTACTTCCCGAACCAATTAATTTCGTAATTAGAGGTACCACTGTACATTCACTGGTGAGCGATGTGTTGGAATTTGAGGAAGAGGATTTTTACTCACAGGAGCTGACAGATGCGTACATTGTTAAACCCTACATGTTTGAGCCGATCAGGACATCGGAGCAAGTCAGTGGAAGCAAAAGTGACAGTGAAAGTGATGACTGTGACAATGCCACTGAGGAGCCTGGATTAGAGGCGACACAGTACTGCACAAAGCGGATTGGAAATAGAGACTAATATGTTTTTGTACCCGTTATCTCTCTATATATTTGCTCTACCAACCTCAATTTAGCACAACAGCTTTCCAAATATAAACAGTCGGCCTTATTGTGTGTGTGGGATTCACAATAATGTGTCGGCCATACACAAAATGTTACAAAGCAGGGACAATCTTGACGTGCATTTTCCCCACGCATGAAAATTGTAGGTGTGTCTGATATGCACAACAAAAACAAAGACAGCATGAAGCAATGAATGAATGGAGCTCTTAATGGCACGCAATACAGTAAGGCTTCGCCGTGTCGGGCAGTTTGCCAAGTAGGCAGAATAAGTGCATATTACTCTACAGGTGTTTTTGTTTTTGAACAGCTCAAATCATAATCACCAATTTTAGGTGTCGGATGTGCATGCAAATCACTCGTCACTTTTTGCCTGCGCCTCTTTTCGAATGCACCACCACTACCAGGTTCTTCCTGCTGCTGCTGGGGGTTGAAGTCACATTTGCTGAAGTAAAACTTCAATCTTCGGTCTCTGTCATTTAACATGACTTTGAATGTGGTTGCTTAATTCTGTACTCAACCACATCCCAAGCTGTAAGGAGAGAGGGGGTGGGGCACACATTTGCAGCCACATTTGTCCCACCCATGAAGGCTTATTCTCACCAAGATCGTGGGTGTGCTGTCACTGCAGATAAAATCCCTACCCTCTGTGAAGTTATTGTTGTCCTTTCCTGTAGCAAGGCTGTTGGTTTCTTCTTTAGTTCATTGTTTTTCAAACATTTTGCTTTGTCTCATATAAATAATGCCACAATTGTGGTTTTGTCTGCTCCGTTCATATATTTTGATCAACTTCACTATCGAAGCTAGAGTGTCTCATGATGATATCGCCTTATGTAACCCAATGTTATTTCAATTAACGCAAGTCTTATGAAATAGATGTTTAAAGAGATTTTAACATGGACAACACAACGGTGACAGAGTAGGTTGCCGTACATTTTCAGTATTCTTATTGGCTAGAAATCACTTGAGTGATTGAAAAAGCGTCACCACGTGTAACCATATTTCGTAAAAAAAAATAAAAAAAAAAGATTTGTACCTATGTTTTTAGTACCTATGTAAATGTGGGCATTTTGAATGATTGTCTGGTTCCACCATCATGGTAAAACCTTCAGTCGTAGCACAGAGCTGAGGCTTTGACTCCACCAAATACATTTGGGATCAACTATAATGCTGAATGACTTGCATTTTCTTTAACTCCACTTTTTGATGGGGGGTAAAAAAAATCCCACAGACAAACTAGCAAAATGTTCCCAAATGGGTCAAAGCGGCTATAATTTAGTCCATTAGTTTCCTGTTGGTCCATTAGTGATTGAAGTGCAACGCAAAAAAATCACTGGAGTACATGATTTGATTCTTATGTACAGTGTGTTACACTGCGTTATAGTTATCTTTCTAAATAATAATAATAATAATAATAATACATTTGATTTATAATGTCCACTTCTTTCAGATAAGTGGCTTCCTGATGGGTTTGAGCGTCATTGGCTCCATCTTCAACATCACAGGCATCGCCGTCAACCGCTACTGTTACATCTGCCACAACTTCAGCTATGACAAGTTGTACAGCAACCGGAACACACTGCTGCTTGTGGCACTCATCTGGTTCTTAACACTTATGGCGATTGTGCCAAATCTGTTTTTTGGCTCCCTGCAGTATGACCCCCGTGTCTACTCATGCACATTTGCACAGACTGTCAGCACATCCTATACCATCACAGTAGTGGTCATCCATTTCTTTGTGCCCATTTCCGTGGTCACTTTCTGCTACATGCGGATATGGATCTTGGTCATTCAGGTAAGGCGCAAGGCGAAATCTGAGGTACGTCCTCGCATCAAGCCCAGCGACTTGAGGAACTTTATCACCATGTTTGTCGTCTTTGTGCTCTTTGCGATTTGTTGGGCACCGCTCAACTTCATTGGGCTTGCTGTGGCCATTAACCCGGAAGAAGTCGCACCTCGCGTCCCGGAGTGGCTCTTTGTTGTCAGCTATTTTATGGCTTACTTCAACAGTTGCCTTAATGCCATCATCTATGGCCTACTGAACCAGAACTTCCGCAGGGAGTACAAACGTATTGTCATGTCTGTGTGGTGGCCACACCTCTTCTTCCAAGAAACATCAAGAGGAGGGACTGAGGGCTTCAGGAGCAAACCATCACCAGGACTCAATAACAATGACCAAGTAAAAGGAGAAACTCTGTGACGCAGTTTGTCTCTACTGTGCCCAAAGCCTCAACAAGCACTTGAAACAAAATGGCAGAGTGAGCAACAGTAAAAAAAAGGATTAAATAAAGAAAAAAAGACAAAATATCCAAAATTATGAGTGCCATTCTTCACACGTAAAGCTCATCAATTTAACTTTTTACTGATTTCATGGGGCCCAATTGAAAATGAAAAGACCGCATGGAAAAATTTTTGAAATGCCCGAAACAAAAATTATTGCAACTGCTGGTCTATTTAACATTGCAATGTGGAATTTCTGAATGAAGCCAGGGGTGACTTAGGCTATGTTCATACTGCAGGGCGTGATGCCCAATTCAGATTTTTTAATTAAATCCGATTTGTTTATGTTCTTGTTCATATCACAGAAACAAATATGACCTCTGATGTGAGCGGAACGCGTCAGTGATGTTGCACCAAACGTGGCATGGTGTTATCGGAAGTAAATATTGTTCCACATGTAGGGGCTCATTTTGCTGTCTCATATCGACAGAGTGGAAATATTTTAGACATGAGGACGAGGGGAGGGTCCTTGATCAGCTCATTTCACTGAGACATTCCACTAAAGATGGCGCCAGGTCATTGCCGCGTGTAAATAAACCGTCTCTGTGGATGAAATATTGTATTACTTTCACCACAAATGTCAATTGTATGCTTCCTTTTTCAAATTGGGATTAAATTGCATACGTATCAGATATATATCCACATACAAAAAGAGCCCCAGATCGGATTTGAAAAAAAAAAAACTCAAAAATCTGCAGCTGCAACGTGAACATACAGTAGCTTTTGAGCTAGTCACAAGAAGGAGTCATGCCACATCACTTTTGACAAAATTCCTTTCAATGCTGCATTTCCTTGCCGTTGGGTCATTTCAGCACACAGTGATGATTGGTGCTGCTGCATTTTTTCAGGCATCCTGTCTCAAGTTTCATACAGAATGTTAGGCAGGATGGACATCCACATCAGAAAACTAAATTGATGAGCTTTTAATGTACAAAATGTTTAAATGTTCTTGTGCACACTCAGGGTGCCTGTGTGATTTTGGCAATATATATTTTAAAACAATGGCACCAAGATACTGTTGTAGACTTTTACAAAATTCGGTGACAATTTATGACACACAGTAGGTTCTCTGTCTTTTCATTTGTAATATCATATTAGTAATGTACCACTGTGCAAGGTGTTTGGTGACACCAACTGTTTTTACAGATATATTGTATATCAAATTATTATCACATTTTTCCTTGTGGCTTTAATGACTACCGTGGCTGAAATGCGACATACTGAATTCACTTTGCTGGCAGTTGATACCTCAACTTTTTAATCATCATGAGAGGTGCCTGTACTGCTCCGATTGTTTTTCACTTGACCAAAAATAATCATCACTTATAACAGACCATAGATGGGCATCCTGCGGTAAGCTTGTTTTCACTCTGATGTCAATGTTTCTTTTGGCTGAATGATAATAATAGGCAGCACAACCATATACAATATACATTTTTGGAAGAATAAGCAGAAAATTAATCTGACAATGATTAATCTCTGTCGATGTGTTTTTTAATGATTGCAGATCATGAACTGATGAAGAGTCTAAGAATATTTGGTGGCCATATCTGAAAAACATTTTGGAATCAGTCATAGTAGTAGGCAACTTCACAACAATTAATGGACAACAGTGAACTCGACAATGATGCTTTATATTTTATGTTATCATGCCATACTTTTATGACTTCCACATTTTTTTTCAACCATTTTATAGCACATAGCGGCGTACACATAATTTTGCCATAAAAACGAGACAGCTAGGAAATTACTTTTTTCTTCCCCCCTTCAAACACATAAAAAGTGCACTTTTCTCAAATTTATGGCTGAAGAAAACATAAAGGACATTTATGTGTACAGTGGTACGAACAAATTTGAATATGATCCATTCCGGATCGCTGGTCAAGAGAACTGCCAGCACAATTATATTCAAGTAACACTGAGAGAAAATGAGCTAAACTTTTGACTCACTGGGTCATTTATTCATTCAAATAACATACTTGTCTTAAATTTAAAAAAAAACAAAAACAATTATTGAATTAATCCCATTTTGCAGCAATGACAGCTGCTTACATAAAATAATAATAATACTACCAATAGATTGTTGTCCAACGGGGGTTCTATTAGATGTTGAGTTGTTAACTGCATATGCAATACTGCTGACTTGAATTTCCTTGAAAGGACCTGCTTCATGAAAGGAGATTATATGCATAGAAGTGTTCAGTTGCCAATTTGGCATTTGAACGAATAGCTGAGAGTCAAGAATACTCCCAAAGTTGGAAAAAACACAGTTCAAAAAACAAAACTCTTGAAACCCATTACATGCTGCTGATTAAAAACAGATAAACATCCCGCATGTTCAAATACAACAAACCATTTTATCCACCTGGGTTATATTGATCAACTTCACTGAACCACAAACTAGGACGCACAATAGGTCACTATAGCTTGAGCAGTCCTAAAATGTGTTTTTTTTTCTTCTTTTTTCTATTAATAGGACCATTTAGGGATGTAAAACAAATACTAAAGGTCTCTAAAAGCACAATTATTTCATAAAACCCGGATCACAGTGTACTTGCAGTTTACAGTTTGGAATCTTAGTAACCTTGTAATCTTAGTAATGATGAGAATCAATACTTTCTCTATGCAGTTTATTCTCCATCTGATTTCAAGAGCGCATGAAAAGTAAACGGAAGGCCACTCCTGTTTGTGAATAGTCTGACCTTTTTCTTTTTTTAATGGATCTATCTTAGTAAAAATAAATACATAATAATACTGGCTCAGCTGATGCAGGCTGAACTTCAGGCACTGTGTGTATGATGTGCATGTTTTTTAAAAAAAAGATGTTTGTCATTTTAGTCAATGTGAATTATGACATAAAAAATTGCTTCTTTTATCTTTGCTCTCTGTCAAATGATTCCAGCTTGTAAATAATTGACAACTGTGCTAAAAATGGTGATAAATTAAAGCATATTTAATGACTGTAGGCAATTGAAATACTTTTAAGTTGTACTTATAAATGTGTTCACCTTTTTTTTTTGCTATGCATCCTCATCCAAATTTTGTCACACGATATACAGCAGTCCATTAACTGCAGGTAGTGGTGGTACCTCTACTACCGAAATTAATTGGTTCTGGAAGAAATTTCTTAACTAGAAAATTTTGTAAGTAGAGAAGCGTTTTCCATGTAAATGCCTTAATCCATTCCACCTCCCCAAAAACATCTTGACATAAATTTTTTCAAAAGCAAAAAAAAAAAAACATCAAAATATGGAACAAATACATGTTACAATTAGATTATTGCACAATAAATGAGAGTTGTGCATAGACTAAAGAATAAAAATGATAGTAATTTAATTTAACTGTGTCCTCATTGTGGTTTTTTTTTTTTTTTTGCCCTCTTTAGTTGATGTTCTCTCTCAGAAGTGGTTTTTGCCAGGCGTTTTGTAAAGAAGTGATCCAAGGACGTTTGCTTTTGTCGGCTTTGAACAATCCTTTGAAAATATCCAAGGCAAACATCAACATAGTGATCGATCGCCCGACAGGTGAACACATTTTTCTGGGTGATTCACATTTATGTAAAACGATAAGAACGCTTCATGGCCCGAGGGGTGAATGATGAGGACGCTGCATAAACACATTCTATCTACACACATAGACATATACGGACGGTAGAGGTGCCACTTAGCCCATGGGATGCCAGCATGATATTCGGGAACAGCCATTGGCAGACCATCTATAAGTATGTTGCGTTCAGGAAAGTCGGAGCTGTGACTACCAGCCCATACTGTACTTTTACCTTTCGTATCTTGAAATTTATTTCGTAACAAGAGGCAATATTTTCCTGTTGATGCATTTCGTAACTTGAAAATTTCATATGAAGAGAGGTTCGTAAGTAGAGGTACCACTGTATATAGAAACCATATTTTAAAAGAGTGGATTTTGTCATCCGTACATTGCTGCTGATTTTCAGTGACATCCTTCTTGCCCAAAATTCTCTGATAAGTAGAACACTGACATAAATATGTCATATTTGATCCTAGACAATACAAACATTTTTGGTCAGACATTATTAAAATCAGTTGGTGGCACAGGACATGTACTAAAATGGTGTCAGTAGGGTCCTTGCTTCGACAAAGAAAAAAAAAAGTGCATCTAACAAGTTGCTGGCATGCTAGCATATTAGCAAAATCTACACCGATTGCATTTTTCTAGCCTTCCTGCAATGAATATCTGTGGTCTTCCTGTACTTGCATCTCTCAAGGTTACATGATGCTAATAGAAGACACGAAGGCTGTGTTCAAATTCATTGGCTGCATCCCAAAAGGCCAGATGTGCAGCCACTTCTGGTGCACCTAAAACACATTCTCAACCAAATTCACACGACCTGCGAATCTAGCCTTGAAATCTAACTTGTTTCCATGGAGACGGGCCCTGAGCGAAGTTGACTTTGGCACACACTTGCTCAACACTACATTGCTCCACTGTTCTTCTATGTCGCTCTTCTTCTATATTTCAAGGTCTCTTCTACCAGCCAAGCTCACCGCCGCCACCTCAGGTGGTAGAGAAGAGAGTCGCTCGGCCTGCCCAAATTCGCCAAGGTTTATACGGTCCACGGAAGCTACATGAGGAATGAGGAGGAGCCTTCGAAGGACCCAGCCTGCCTACTAAAAATCATTTATTTTCGATTGCTTTTAAATCGGCAATTGTAAGGCAGTGGAACTGATAACAAAGATAATTATAGAGTAATTCAATATTTTATAAACAGACATTTTTGTCATTCATTTAAAACATTTTATACATATATTTACATATATAACAATATTAAAAACGACTAAAAATTGACCCCTTGGGAATAATGAATACAAATTAAAATGTAAACATCCATCCATCCATGATCCGAGCTGCTTATCCTCATGAGAGTTGCGGCCATTTTGAAGTTATTATTCTACACACGGCGTCAACATCATTGCTATTTGGGAATAATGAATACAAATTAAAATGTAAACATCCATCCATCCATGATCCGAGCTGCTTATCCTCATGAGAGTTGCGGCCATTTTGAAGTTATTATTCTACACACGGCGTCAACATCATTGCTATTTGCAATGTGCATCATCAAAAGATAAGTGGTACTTTAGATCCCGTCTCTGTGTGACCCGGTACCGGTCCATGGACCATTGGTTGGGGACCACTGGTATAAAAGACAGTTGGATGCATGGATTCGATTTCCCTCACATGTCGAATCAGTCCATGTGCCAGCCATGATTCTCAACCAATCTTTATTGAGCGGATCCTATAAAGTTGAATTCCCCTGAAGTTGAGCAATATTGAAAAATATGCTAAGTTGGCCAAAACTTTAGAATCTGAAAGATTTGAATGCAGAGCCAAATGTGGAGCACAAATCCCACCACATTAAGCTTTCTTCACTGATTCTTCAAATTTCAGATTCACAGTTTTTATTTAAAATGTCGAAATATTAAGTGTGGTTAGTGACACTTGCACCTATTGTACATGGCAGTTAAGAACAAACCGTATGGGAGACGGTGGTTCGAATCCTGCTTGGGGCATAACACCATCCAGTGTGGGTCCTTGGGCAAGATCATTCACGCTAATGCCTACCTCATACAATAATGAGAGACAATAAAATGAATGACATGCCGGCTCAGACGTCGCCCGGCCAAACAAGGTCTGCGTCAGGTGCTGGGGAACCAGAGCACCTTGATGAAAAATGGGCTACTGGAACAAAGCGGAGATGGGCGAGATGCGATAACATGGCTCTGTTGGAATGCTACTACTCAAGCAACCCTAGTCAGAGGGGTTACATGCAGAGAATG